TAAAATCAATACATTCATCGCTCCGATCAGAATCTAAAATGGAAAATTCGAGAAGAAATAAAAATACTTTGATTGATCAATGTATACCCTCAACTATGATACTTTAAGACTTTAAATTTCCATGGTAACTTCATAATTCGTACAACCATTTAGGCGTACACTACGAAAGGATTTTCTATAATTCGAAATTGTAAAGAGTTTACCGTTTTATTTATTTTCGTTCAAGCTCAGGTTATGCAGCTAAAAATGGATTTTGGTTTATAATGTATTAAGTTATATTCTCAAAACCTACTGGGCCGTTTCAATGAAAAGTTATATTAATAGATTCCTTGAAAATTGGAGGATGTTTATAGTTTTAAAGGGACGAACATTTTTTTTCTGTTTCCGAAAAAATAAGTATTTTTATCTCAATAATTACCATTGCAGATTACATAATAATATTATATTACTATTACAGTTATAAAAAATATAGAATTTAAATTGTTTTAAAAAATATATTCATTAAAAATAAAATTCTTTGGCTCAGACGATTTCGAGCATGACAGTTAGTAAATTAATAAATACATTAATTATAATATATTTTACTCAAATAGCACTATATAATATAATGTAGTTGATGATGCCTTACGTATGTCATATTTCATAAAGAATGAACATTTTCATAATTCGAAAACCAAACAATATGTTTGAAYGAACATAAATAAGTAGGTATATAAAAGCAAAACAACTTCTTCAAAACTTTGCGAGTAAAGCATACTAAGTATATTAAGAATTGTAATAATAATGCTGTGTTTTGTGTTTTAGAATAATAATCCAGCAGAATGTAAAGGTATTTACAATAATTAATATATATGGCGATTTTGAATAACATGAAATACTTGTTGTCTTTAAATGCCCGTAATATAATATTATACATATTATTCAAATAACTTTTGTTAGTTTTTTATAAATTTCGATGATCGATTTGTTACAATTTTGTTTTTCATTTTAGTGTCGAATAAACAAACAACTAGCTACTCACTTGCTTAAGATTTATAACATATAAGCCACAACAAACAGTAGAACATATTTTGTATTTATGTCACACTCATATATAACTAAAAAGAAGACTATT